TCTGGATTCCCTCCTCCAAACACGATCCAGTCTGGATTCCCTCCTCCAAACACGATCCAATCTGCATTCCCTCCCCCAAACACAATCCAGTCTTATTGTCATAACAATAGTGCTAGAGCTTTCTTTGCTGCTTGTGTTTTCACAAATCAATGCACACAAGATAACTTCTTAAATTTGATTTTTTTCTTCAGATGATGAGCTGCGTGCATATTATTACATCTTGTATAAACATGGAATATCAGTCAAGTCCAAGTCAAATTAGATCATCCTTGGCATCTCTTTATATGAAATGTTATGTCTATAAGCTCATCAAGGAATAACATCCAGTTCCATATGACGAGCATACGTTCCTGCCTTAATCATCTCTAGAGCTTTGTCACTTCTGGTTACCAGTGATGGGACAGGGAGACGCAGTACATGACGTCAGGGACAAAAACCCTAGCCAAAAATGACTTGTGAGAAAGACATATGGAGAAGACTTTAGGTTTGGAACTAGTTCCAGCCTACAAGCTATTTCTTCAAACCATGTAGTTAGCCTAGATGGGGTACCTTTGAAACAGAGTCTCTGGAGCCTATCAGAAGGCCATAAGCAGCTGTGGGCAACATGTCATAATACTCTCTCTCAATCGATGCGGACAAACGCTAAGAAGGAAAAATGCTGGAGGCTGTCGTAGTTGAAGCGGAAATGAGTTTTTGTGTTTATGTGTAAGTTATTTACTTGATAATAGAATACAATGCTGGATTCCCATATCAGGAGTCTGAACTCTTTCCGTATGTAGGGGTACTAGGTAACTTCTCTATTTCAAGGGATCCTGCTGTGAGTGTTCCCATGGAGGAAGAACTCATCCTTTTCTGTAAAGCATCAGTCTCATTTTCAGTAAACTTGCGTTTGTGTTCCTGTATTTAACCTCCTTAAGAAAGAACTACTTGAAACGTGACTTTGACTTTAAAATGTAGCTCAAAATCCTTTTCCTATTGGAAGAATCACGACTTTTAGTTTGCTAGATATCGCAAAGAAACAAACTCTCTTTTGTCAACTGGGAATCATTATAAAGATGAGAGATGGGTGGTATTTGGCCAGTTGTGAATGTAATGGAGCTTGTAGACGGAGGTCCTTACCCTGGAGGCTTTCCCTCCCGACCCTGCCTGCAGACCTGCCATCAGGCCTGCATTTTGAAAGTGTACACGTGGGTTTGTCTATCTGTGAACATGGTCTTATCTATGAACATATAAATAAGTACACTGCTATTGGCAGTGGTCTCACAAATGCTCCGAACTTTTCAACACAGGGTGTAACGCTCGTGCAGGAATTGGATTTACGGCAATACTAAGATGTGTACATGCCCAACGGAATGTGTCACAGGCGGTGTCTACCGGTCACTAATGTGGGTGTGCAGCGCTGGTTCATACGCTTGCTTTATTAGCAATCAAGAGAGAGCAAGAGGACTGGGAGTTGGCTAGCCAGCACAAAGTCTGTGTAGAGCAAAATCCCCCTCTGTCGTACTCATCAGAACAAGAGAAACTTGCAGCCCATGAGTTAATTGTATCCTTGTATTCATAAAGATTCAGTTTCGTCCTGGACTGTGTAGAATATACACTTGATAGTTGTCTGACCAGAGGTATGTACATTGCTGATTTTTTCTTTTTGTAATTCTGTAATTTTGAATATCTCTAGGACTCTGCCTGAAGTTATTCTCCATTTGATATTTCAGTCGCTCGTTTGGGATTTAAATTCTGTGGGTTAATACAGAATTCAAAACTTCTCACTCTAAGACATATCAGTAAGTTAGAATCAGTTGTTTTTAAAACATACGTGTACAGATACAGATTTCCTCTCTTTCTCTGTCTCTGATCTATTGGTTTACACCTCTCTCTGTATGCACATATCTATCCACAAAGAAGCACTTTAAACCAAACAATGGGTCACGCATCCAAGCAGTTTCAAATGACTTTATTACAAGCAAACGCGAATCCTATTATTCTCAATAGAAATCCCGGTAAGACTTGGTTCAGTGGCGTGAACTTCCACAGAACACTGCCTCCAGGATCAGAGAATAGCCAAACCTCACCTTGATATACTCCTACTGGAAGTCTTCTCCGCTGTCTGCGTATTCTCTCTTCTGCGCAGCTCGGACTTGCCAGGGGATGGTAGAACAACACCTCTCCCCGCTGCCTAAGCCTTTCCGGGACTCGCCATCCTGTGCAGGGCGAATCCCAACGGTGCTGGCATCGTGTGAGAAGTCTGCAAAACCGAGAAGAGTCTGTTCGGCTGTTTCTTGTCTCTAGCAGAACCTCCCCCGCCCCCTGCTCTTCTCGCCGTGTCTCCTGTCACCTTCCCCCGAGGAAGCCAAGAATGAGATGGAAATTCCAAACACGAGAAGACTCCTGAGACGCGTTCATCAAGTTGTTTCCTGTATCTGAGATCTTATTCCATTCTCTTCTCGGCAAGACCCTACCAAACCCAGCTCAAGGTCACGCGACCTTGTTGGAAGCACCTTTAAACCCAGTTAGTCACTGTCCGCTCAGTCCGTAACATTTCATACGTGAACAAGTGAATATTTCCCTCCTTACTTGGTAGCATTTCACAGCAGGGCAAGAATTTCAGTTAGACTCATACGATGTATCTATGTCCACGGTACTATTGGTTTTGTGTCAAATAAACTGAATGATGAAATTGATTGGATCATCACACTGCAGGTGATACAAACGAGAAGAGCAGTAAAAGTTAATATGGTATTGACCTCTTGAATGAAACTTTTCTCACTGTGAAATAAAGCTCAATTATATCATAATCCGATTTCACAGAGCTGTCATATTTTAACTTAAATGAACCACTTTATATTGCATTGAATAAACCGTAACAGTGCAAAAATGTTACGTGAAGTACTATAGGTTTCATTTCTTTTTTCCTAAAAAAAAAAAAAGGCTATAAATATGTATCACTGGCAGGACTCGCTCATGGATTAATGGAGTAGGGCTTATCAGCAAACTGCCGTGTGGGAGTGATTCGAGGGGCAGACAGAGCAAGCTCCGTAAAATATACATTTTCCTTGTCAGATGAAATCCCACCCACATTTTTGAGTCTTCCTGAGTACATACTGGCCTTTCTGTTAAAATTCCAATATGTGTGATGACCTTGTTAAACACAGAGCCAGAATCTGAACGTATAGGGGACATTCTGGCTCACTGAGACGAGGATTTTTTCCACTATTATCTTAAATCCTGAAGCACTTTTATAAACTGGCATATTGGGTAAAACCCTAATGGACAGACATATAAAAACAGAGCTGGTCACATTGAATCAGAAGGGCCACTCATTGTCTTCACGTAGAGGACGGTGTAGATGGTACCCCTTCTGGGTGATGTATAAAATGAACCTGCTCGTGGACTTGACCCTGACGCCTTTGGGTGTTCACGGAGACAACTCTGTGCAACCCTGTGTCTCCGGCACATACAAAAAGGAAAGCCAGACTCACTTCTTTATTTTACCCAAGCTGGGAGTAGGTGCATTATTTGAGGCAGGCATTCTCAAAAAGTCTCCCTCTATACACATATAAAGCAAGATTCGATACAGTACACAAACAGAAGTATATCCATGGTATCAAAATCTCATGGGGGGTTGATTAGGAGAAAACGTTTCAGAAGTCTTCTTGGAAGGTGATAATGAAAAAACAAAAAGGTTCTTCGCTTGACACATAAAGCTGGATTGCACAGAAGGTAACGTGCAGTGAGAAAGGCAGCTGATTGGAGACGTTGGCCTCATGGAGACACCAGAGAGAAGTGCATGCGCTCATGGGTCTGCTAAAATAAATACAATGAGTGAATTGAATCCTCTAAGGGAGCAACACAGAGCAAACAGCTCTATTTGCCTTTAACATTTCCTGCAACATGGTTCGTCTTAGGGACCTCGACTTTACCCTTAAATACACCTTGACCCTATTCTGTTGCTTTCCAGACACTTCCAGTTCTGAGAAAAAGTCTCATTTTTGTAATCAAGTCTCCTTTTCTGTCATGAAAAAGGTCTCATCCAGTTTCCCCTTCGGGACCAATCCTAAACTTCTCTTCCTCACCCAGTCTTTAGCACAGGGGGCCTGCAGAAGAGAAGCCTATATGGTTTGACTCTGCTCTCTGCCTCCTTCTTTTTCCACTTTGCCTCTTAATTTAGAGCAGGGGAGAAAAGAATTTAAGGAATGTGGAGATACTGGTTCAGTGAACTAGGCTTGCTATTTCAGTGTGCTCTTATGTTGGCAAGTGGTCAGAGCTGACTTTGTGGCAGGTGTTTTCTTGTTTGTTTTTTAAAGACAGACAGACACACACACACACACACACACACACACACACACGGAGAGTGCATGAGTGGGGGGAGGGGCAGAGGGAGAGGGACAAGCAGACTCCCCGCCCAGTGCAGAGCCTGACGTGGGGCTTGATCCCAGGACTCTGAGACCCTGAGCTAAGCCGAAGGCAGGTACTTAACCCACTACGCTACCCAGGCGCCCCTGTGGCAGGTATTTGAGCGTGAAATGCTGGTGTGCTCCAGAGTTGCCAATGGAAGTTCTTGGAGAGGAACCCATTGGGTCCTCAGCGCTGCACGGCTGCCCTGTTACAAACAAGGCTTGCTTCCCATTGACCTTTCATGCTCCTTTACCAAATGCTCCCCTGCCTAGGCTCCTACCACTGGAGCTGTCTGGGTTTGTACCAGTTGAACGTAAGAACTTCAAGACAGAACAAAGCCTGGTGCCCTTTCTCATTTTCTGTGTAACCTAAGGAAAAGCCTGTTCTTCTCACCAACTTGAGGGATGTAGGCAACTCCACACAGGCAGTCTGTTCTTGCCGCTGCTCTCCAGAATTGCTCTGGCCTTCAGAATTTTCCTCCCCACGTCAGGCTCTGCACTGGGCGGGGAGTCTGCTTGTCCCTCCCCCTCTGCCCCTCCCCCCACTCACGTAGGGCACCCCTTCCTGTGCTCACGTAGACCCTCAACCTCTCAGCAACATGGGCGAGGCTCCCAGTGGCTTTCAACACACGTGGCCATGCACCCAGGGCCGGAAAAGAAGTCAAGTTCTACAAGTCAGCAGGCGTGCAGCTGTGACGTAGCATGCCCGTCCTCCATCAGTCTCCAGATTTTTTGGAATCACCTGCATGTAGGATGAAATACCAGAAGCACTGTCCTCCCTACCTAGTGCCACAAGCTGTTAAGGGGATAATAAGCCGTTATCAGCAGACGTGCACTGGGGTAACGAGATTCCCTTGAATTTCCAGTTTTCCCTTTTTTATGGGCTAAAGGTGGGTGAGTGGGAGGTTGTCACAGGGCTGCCATCTTTATTGTAAGGAATGGAGAAATCTGTCCTTCTTGTGAGTGGGTCCTTCCTGACAGCTGTGCTCAGCCCCATTCAGCTTCTGATGCAATGACGTTGGCCTGTTGCCGAGGACTGTTTTTCATGTCAAGATTTGGGTGAAGGCATCTAACTACGTTAACTGAAACATTTTTTCACTCTCATTTAATTATTTAGGCCAACTGACTTCACTATGAATTTTGAAATCCAGTTTTTAAAAGCCTTCCTTATGCCACCTGGAAGCATTTAACTTCACAGAGCTAATAAATTCCAAATTAGTGTAATAAAATTCAACTACACCCCGACTAAGTAAATTTCTTTTTTAAATTAACTTATCAGGTGCGTCTTTTTCAGTGGAAATAAAAACGCTCTGCTTGTCATGCAGCATGCGTGAGGAGTCCATCGGAAGTAGCCAGGAAGTAGAAACAGAGCTACCCCTATGAGGCATAAGGACGGTCACAAGCTTTGGCGCGTGCGGTCTCGGAACTCTGGCTTTGTCCATTTTCCTTCTAGCCAGCGTCTCCTTAAGAAGCCGGCTCCTCTCGGCTACTCCATCCTCTCCTCGACATTGGCTGCCTCTGCCTGTCCCCAGCCTCAGCTCTCCCAGGACTGTAAACAGAGCTCTCCTGAACAGGACCCGTCCCCTCAGAGCCACCGGAGACCTGCTGTTGGCACGACGGCCTTTAAACTTGCGCTCAGAGGATATTCACATTTACCGTATGGCTTCTTCCAGAAGCCACTGCGTTCCACGGGGGCAGAACCACCTCTGAGAGGTTGGTGGGGCGTGAGGCTCCAGTCCCAACACAAGGACATGTGAGCCGGAAATTCTAGGCATATCATCAGGGAGGTGTTTGCAGAGAGCAACCCCACGCCCCATCACGGGATGGAACCTCAATCTTTCTTTGTGGTCGTCTGGCCCCAGATGGACCGTTTGGATTCTGTTTTCCCTTTATATCCTTAGCTGTTGTCTTGGGTTCTGTTTCTCAATCTGACTCTCATTATTGCAGCAGGGTGAAATTTTCTTCTGCACAGAGCATCACTTGTTTCTTTTGAAAGAAAGAAGCTGCTGCTGCTGCTGCTGCTTCTTCTTCTTCTTCTTCTTCTTCTTCTTCTTCTTCTTATTATTATTATTATTATTATTATTATTTTGGTGGCCTGAAAGCTTCCAGAGGAAAAAATGGGTTGATGTTGGTTCATCGCTCAGATCTCCATGCTGCAAGAGAAAAGGAGAGAGGAGCTCCCGACTGTAGCTATGTCCAGATAGGGTAGCTTCCCGCGGGGCTCCGTCGCACGTACGGTTCTCTGCAGTGGACCTGTTCCCCCTGCACGGCGTGCGCTGCTTCTCTGAGACGGCAGTTCTCCTCTGCGGACACAGCCAGTTTTCGAAGATCCAGGAAGCGCAACCTTCTTTTGTTCTAATTTACAGACCGGCGGTGTGGAGGGCATGTTGCAGAGTCGTGGTACGCTCTGTGCATAATTATCATACGGTGTGTTATCCGTTCCATCGTCCAGGTGGAGGAATCACGTGCTTCTTTGTCTCTTGATCTCTTCATGGCAGCAACAGCTTACCCCATTGGAACTGTTTCATAAGCTCCTTCCCATCAACACTGACCCTAAAACTTTATCCCAGGCAATCTGTTCTTGAATCAGCAGGATGCTTTTTTAGCGTGTAGAAAAGTTGACCTTTCCTAATGGAGATCTATATTCCCAAAGGGAGCCTCTGAATCTCCTTGTGGAAGGTCTGCCGGAAGAAGATGAATCATAGAGAGATGATTTGCATGTGTTCCTTTTTCTCGATTATTTGTTTCATATTAAACTCTATGTGTTTGCTATCGGGAGTAAAGAAAGGCCACACAGAAAAAAATGTAATTTTCAGGAGATAAAATTGTGACAGATGGGCAAAAGGAAAACAGACATTTTCTTTAGTGAAAAAGACATTTTGCTTGCAAGTAAAAAGTGATTCTCCTTTTTCTGATGGAAAGAAAAAAGAAACAACCAAAAAAAAAAAAAAAAAAAAAAGGAGCCTGGACAGAAGAGCCCAACTGCTGTCACCCATCTCCGCTGTGGAGAATGCCTCCCAGGACGGGAGTGAGGCCCGCACGGCAACCAGCTCTGTGTGCCTCACAACAGAAGGGACCACTTGGCGGGCCCTGAATATGGTCTCTTCAGAGTTCTCATAAATCAAACGAGGTTTGCCCAAGATTGGGCATGGGAGAGGCCATGCTCAAACAGACCTGCTCGAGAGTGTATTTTAGAGGACTGAGTCATGGCATATTCTTCAGTGTAAACCTTGAATTAGACAGAACCTGCCTTACGTTGTCCTAATTAGCAATCTGCCAGGTTTGACTGTTGATAGGATAAATGGGTCATCTACATTTCATTGAAGTTTTTCTTTTTTTTTAATGAGAGTGGTTGGGGCAAGTGTGTGTGTTTCACTGTTATTTTGTTTTTATTTCTTCCGTGTTTCTGGCAGAGGGTGTTGCCTCCAAATCGCAGATGGTTCCCATCAGCAGACCTCTGCTAATTCATTCGTGTTCTTCAGAGGGAACTATTTAAAGAGGTAAATTTCCATTTGAAGGAAAGGACTCTTCCACAAATCTTGGTCCTTAACCTAAAATGAATAGATGTAAACGGCTGCTAAGTCTTTTTTTTTTTTTCTTTTTATTCCTATTTTTCAGGTATTCTGGCATGAAGAGAGTTCTCTGCCCCCGGTCTTTGGAAAGTTTCACGGGCTGGGCACCTCCTGTCCGCAGCCAACAGTGATGTTTTGTGTCTTCATCCCGGTTGAAGGGCCTGGCACACAAACAGCCCAGCCTATTCATTCCTGGAGTGATTTTACATATGCGAGACCGAAGCCAAGATGCATGTCTTCTTCCCCCGACGTGCTCATTCAGCCACATTCCGGTAAAGTACAAACACTGAGACGAGAAGTGGGGTTCGGACACACGTCCCTGATCGGTAAGTCTGCCCCTGCTCACATAGCTCCCTCTTTGTTGCAACTCCATCGTCCAAATGGATATTTCATAGAAGGACATTTGTTTTGTCCGACTGGACTGCCTCCAATGAGGCAGAGATGGCGTCACCTGCCCCGGGGGGGGTCCTGCTGGCTCCGTCCTGGGGGCAGGGCCATTGCCAAGCTTGACAGAATCCCTCACATTGACTCCCCGACTCCCCAGCCAGCAACCGCAGACTGCCATCTCACTGGGAAGGGAACTCTAGACCTCTGTATTTTCACCAGCCAGACCTTCTGAATCAAGCCTATGTCCCCAGTGCTGGCAGCTCCTCAGAGAGCTCTTTGAGAGTTTGAATAGAGGTTCTGGAGAAGTGTCCCTTTCATCTGCCACGAAGATGAAGCTCACGCCAATGCGTGTCACCGAAGATGTACAGGTGGGACCAGAAACAGTGCACAGCGTGGGAGGTGGGACTGCAGATGCACCAATAAGGGATGAACATCTGCATTCCCCGAGGAGAGAAGGGGCTTTGTGACCTGGGCCGGAGGTGTGCTGATGACAGGTCACCTTCTGGGTGGCCCTGCTGAGACACAGTCGCACAGTGGAAACGACAAAGAGCCCAAGTAGCTTAGCGTAGCCATGCCATTGAATGATTTTGCGCAGAGCTGTTGGTGCAGGACCTGGTGACTCACCCTGGCTTCGGTTGCCCCATCACGCAAAACATCAAAGTCATAGCCAATGCCTGACGTCTCGTTAGTGGGAGTTTTTCTTTCCAGTTTATCCTCTGCTGATTTTGTAGTTTTTCTTTTCAACATTCCCTTGTTCCAACAACACAGTCACCTTTATTCTACTTAAATTGTACTTGATATTCCATTATACCTTTACCTACACTTGAGGTCCCATTTAAATAACGTTTCTTTGCAAAAATTATCGGGAAATGTAATGTCTATCTATCCTGATGGCATAATATGTTAAACAAAATAGAAATTGGGAAATTCTCAGCTGGACCTTCATTTAGCAAATATTATGTAGAAAATAAGTACCTGACGGATGCAGAAGGACACTGACGAGTGACGTCTCTTGCTATGTTTGTTATTCTCTGAAAAAACACGCACTGTGAAAGGTACAGAACCATGATTTACTGTTTTTTAAATTATCTGCATAAGGGATGGAAAATAATTGTCATTCGGAGAGCAACTCTCACGCTGTG